TGGAACCATAAAAAGCACTTTTGCAGGGTGATTCCGGTGGGCCGTTGATGTGCATGAACATGGTCGTTGGGAAATCCAAGGATTGGTTAGCTGGGGTATCGGATGTGGTCGACCGGGACGACCTGGTGTATACTCGAAAGTCTATGCAGCCCTACCGTGGATTCAATCAGAGATGAACAGGTTGCGTGAATAAGTTAGATAACTGATATTCTAGTCGCCTATCTCATTTTCATTTGTTTACACCACGATTCTCATTTTTATGACATTTATATGCACTTTTCACGATTGTGAGAGACAGAGTCTTGACACGAGCGGTTGCGTCGCGGTCCCGATCGTAAATTACTTGTCATATATACGTTAAAAAGGTCCCAACAAGTCCGCAATCAATCGTGTCCAGATGGAGTAGCCTGTGATTTACTACAGTAATCTTAAGTGCTTGTCATATTGTCGGGTAAATTAGCAGATCTCATAAGAACTGCACATATTCTACACTGTGTCGAATACACTTCACATTTTGTAAATGTAAATCAATTAAGATAAATATTTATACATTCTTCAAGGTATAGCACAGAAATTCACAACCACTGACTATGTTCAAGTTGACCAACATGAAAGAACGAAATCTAAAGGAGTGTATAAATATTATGGTTTGCTGAATAATCAAGATTAGTAATTACATCTGATGACATGAACGTTCGGAATAACAAGTTATAAGCAAAAATAGCCGTTAAGAATTCTTAAGCAGTTATCACTGAGATAGTGTTGACAATGTAAAAGTCACTGAAAGCTGGAGGCAGTATAAAAGCCTCCTAAGAAGGTCGAACACCTGTGTACATGAACTATTTCCCATAACGAGACGTGTCGTAATTGCAGACTTAGTAGCTCACTTGGCGACAGCCTCGAAAAATCAATCTTGAGTGCTTTCTGATTTTTTTATGCTGTCTGAAGCCGCGTGTGTCTCTAGCAGTTTTGCAACCACGACACGTGTCGCTATGAGAACTGGAATGTGCGAACACTGTCACATTTTTCGTCGCGTCGCAGTAAAGCGCTCCTGATAGTTCTCATAACCTGGTAGATCTTGGAATTCTCGATCTTGGAAGATGTTACCCGAATAACTTATAATACTGACAGGGGAGTGCGATAGCAGATTTACGGTGAATTCACTTTTGGCAAGACAATTCTCTTCAACTCGGAGAATTTTCAAGTGAGGGCATTTGGCAAGAGCATCCGCATTGAGAGAATTGAGACGATTCTGATTCAAGTTCACTTCAGATGCATTCAAAGAGCTCACCTGAAATAGTGGCAATCCAGAACATCATTACACTTTCGAATTGTAACCCTTACTCGCATTCTCCATAACTGAAGAAACGGAGAAAAGCTTCAAGTCTTCGAAAAGGCTCAGCCTTCGTACACGTGGCCATGATCTTCTCCGCGACCTTCATCCTTTTTCTCTTCTTCACTTTTCCTTACTCTTCACATTACTCACGTCGGTTCAGAACCAAATCAGGCATCGTGTCGACAAAAACTGCCTGATACGAATAATACCTCCTTCTCGGAACCTACTTTTATATGCTTCCAGTTCCGAAAAAAAAAGCAACGGCAACCATGCCAAAACCCAATCACAGCGGGCCACAGCAGGAATGTAGAAAGACTGATAATATCGATAATCGTTCTAAACCTCTAGCTCGAGAAATAGTGATTTTCCCCAGCCACACTCACATTCCCTGCACTTTGTGATTTCATCAAAACCGACTCCTTGGCTCAACGTCAGCAAAAACTCGGCGGCTATAGGGGCAACAGACTAGCACAAGCTTGACTATGTCTCAAATCGTTATCAAACACTCATTTGTTTTGCAATGATTGTGGCCCAGTGTGTTTACAATTTGTGCCAATGGTCAAACCCGAAGTCATTCACCCACAAAACTACACAAAGGGGTTTTCTTCCGGTTACAAAGGCGAGAAAAATCTCTGATTACTCATTAAAGGAAATGAATATGCGTCACGTTAACCTCCTAATATGCAAAAGCAATAAATGATTAAAGAGACAGTATTTTGTAAGAAGATTACCTCATCTGGTAGCTCAGTGATGGTGTTTTGGGCAAGATTCAGCGTTTCCAGTGACATCAGGTGACAGACTACCACAGGAAATTGAGTGAAACTATTTGCCGAAACATTGAGAGTCTTCAGAGATGTGCAGCCAACCATGCTGTCGGGCAGTGACGACAGTTTGTTAGACTGTACGTGGAGGATCTCAAGATTTTTCAGCATCCCAATCTCATGAGGTAGTTCAGCTTCAAAAAGAATTTATATGACTTGCTCTTCTTTGAAGGAGAATAAAGAAATTAAAGAAGAAGAATCACTTACTGAGTGCATTTTCAGAAAGGTGTAACTGCTTGAGAACGGCGAACGCTCCTATAGTTGGTGGTAACTCCTTTATCTTATTTTGACTGAGTTCGAGATTTCGTATCACATCATGGAGCTATAGAGAAGTGAAGTATGTATGAAATACGGATGGTAATTGTATTATCGGTCAACGTACACGAACCTCGTTCAAGGAAGGCGGCAAAGTCTTCAAACCACAGGACTTCAACTGAAGAATCCTGCTCTTCTGCGCATTTTCAATATGTCTCTGTACGGTAGCTTGTGACGGTCCTGCTCTGATACCTGTATCAAGTTTTTCATTAAATGTATAATATTACTGATTACCTACATGTCTCACCTAATGTAGAAGCTACACCTTTGTTTCCCGAGGACTTCGATTTAGACGAATCGTTGCCCATACCTATAAAAATTAAACAGATCTAGGAGTGGTTAGGCCGATGTCAGACTTTGCGAATCGCTACTAGCGATTCGCAAAGTCTGACATTGGC